CAGAATCGATGCTGATATAGCCCAGTGGCCAATAAACATTGGTGATTAGATAATCTCAAGTCTGGAAACCTAAAGTTAATACGTTACTGCTAAATTTGTGAATTGCTTTTTGCTTTTTCCTAATCCTGGTAATCCTGTTTACTTTGGGAAGACAATTCAAAGAGTCTTCCTAGATTTGAGCTTAATGCTGAGACTGGATGGTAGAACTGTTTGAATTTTTAGTGTGGGAGATAGGTGATGAGGAAACCCAAGACACTGCATCTGCAGTTAAATTGAACTTTAAGTTCCTTACACTTTGCCTTAGCTTGAATGACTGTTTTTATATTCATTTGTGCAGAGGTTGATTTTAATAGATAACCATGTGGCTCCTGCTACTTCCTGTTTGATAATATTACAGGTATGAAAACAAACTAGCTTAGTTATTACATCATATTCACCTGAAGTCATGGGGCTTTGAACATATTCTTTGAAGGATATCCATTATGCAAATCTATTTTTTTTTTCATATTCTCGGCAGCAGTTTGCATTAGATATCTCCTTTGTAAATTGTTGTTGAAGACATGATTCTGAGTGGCTTTGCCCTGCACTGCAGCCCCTGTGGCATCTCCTGTTGGCCTGTAGGGTTGCCAGTACTCCGGAAGCAAGGATGTCATCATTGCCCTTAGTTGCCAGCATTTGTGTACAGGATGTTTTTCCTTTCTTTCAGTCTTCCTTGGTTGGCATGAAAAACATCAGAAGTGATGGCGTATTCTTTCTGTTACAACTCTTTCCAAAACACATCATTTTAGCAATGTTACAGAGTCCCTAATAGCTTGGGTTATGTTACTTTTTTCATTAATTCAACTTTAATAGCTTCATTGAAACTATTTTTATATATCTAAAGTTCATATGCTATCCTGGTTTCTCCTACTGATTCCTTTTCATACCTTTCATCTCTAGATTTTGGAGTGCCCACGATCAGTCCTTGGTTCTCACTTCTTTTCTGTCCCATTTTCTAAGCTAGTGATCTTATCTAGTCTCAGGCTTTAAATATCTTCTGTATGCTGATGGCTCCCAGCTCTTTTTTGTTGCTGTTGTCGTTGTTGTTTAGCTTTTATTTCATTATCATAATCTTCACTCTGCAATCCAACTAGACATGGAGAGGAGTAAGGAAAACATGGAACCCGTGAAACCGCTGCAAGAACGCAAAGAGTATAGGATATTTTGACAAAGGGGGGTGGAGCAGTGTTCTCCCGAGCTACAGAAAGAATGCTCTAGTAGTTAAGATAAAACACAAGTCAAATTTTTTAGATTTGTCCACAGTCAGCAATGGTGATCTTCTTGCTGGTCTTGCCATTCCTGGACCCAAAATGCTTCAAGGCTTCCACAGAATTCATGCCCTCCTTCACCTTTGCCAGACACCACGTGCTTGCCATCCAACTACTCAGTCTTGGCAGTGCAGATTAAAAAATGGGAACCGTTTGTGTTGGGTCCAGCATTTGCCATGGACAAGATGCTAGGACCTGTGTGCTTCAGGCTGAAATTATCATGTCAAATTTCTCCCTGTAGATGGACTTGGTGCCAGTGCCATCATGGCATGTGAAGTCACCACCCTGGCACATAAACCTTGGAATAATCCTATGGAAGCAGGAACCTTTATAACCAAGTCCTTTCTCTCCAGTGCTCAGAGCATGAAAGTTCTCTGCTGTTTTTGGAACTTTGCAAACAGCTTGAAGGAGATGCAGCCCGAGGGCTCGCTGTCCATGGCAATGTTGCACAACATGGTGGGACTGACCATGGCTGGGCAGTGTGGGCAGCTCCAGGGTGGTGGCGTCTGCAAAGCCCCAATTCTTTTTTTTTTTTTTTAAACATTTATTTATTTTGAGAGAGCCAGAGAGAGCACCAGCACCTGTGGTGGGAGGGACAGAGAGAGGAAGAGAGAGAATCCCAAGCTGTCAGTGTAGAACCCAATGAGGGGCTCAGTCTCAGGAAGTGTGAGATCATGACCTGAGCTGAAATCAAGAGTCTGACGCTTAACTGATGAGCAACCCAGGTGTCCCTGATGCCTCCCAATTCAATCTCTGGCCAAGACCTCTTCCTTGATCTCCAGAACTGTATATCCAGCTGTCTACTTGACATGTCTAATAGGCAGCCTTAACTCAATATGTCTCTGAGTAAGCTTCTGAGGGTCTGCTGCAAACCAGCTTCTCCTGCAGCCTTCCCTATCTCAGTTAATGCTAGCTCCATTCTTGTCTCTGCTTGGTGCAGAAACCTTGGTTCCATTCCTGATTCTTCTCTTTGTCTCACACCCAACATCTGTGTATCAGCAAATTCTATTAGCTCTGTCTCCCAAAATGTGTCCACATTCGACCATTTATCACCATACTTTCTGCCGCCATCCTGGTCCATGTGACCATCCTTTGCCTGGTTTATTGAAGTCACTTCTGAACTAGTCTTCCTGCTTCTGTTTGGCTTCCCTACTGTCTATTCTTAGCACATTGTCAGAGTAACCCTGTTAAAACTTCCCTTAGTCCTTACAATTTTTCTGTTGAAAACCTTCCAACAGTTTCCCATCTTAATCGGAGAAAAAGCTAACGGCCTTAACTATTATGTATAAGAACCTCTGTGATCTGATTCTCCATTACGTCTCCATTCTCATTTTCTTTTGTTTTCTTCCTTGTTCACTCTATTCCAGCCACATGGCCTTTTTGCTGTTCCTTGATCATGCCTTTCCTCCAGAGCCCTTATATTTGCTGTTCACTCTGTGTAGAATTCTCTTCTTGCTGGTATCAGCAAAAATAGCTTTCTCACTTTGGGTTTTTCTTCCTGAAACCTTCCCTGGCTAACTTACTTATTTTTCTATCTCCTGCACTAGAATGTAAGCTTTATGAGGATGGAGATTCTTTCTTGTTTCGTGTACTACAGAATTCTTAGCACCTAGAGGTAGTGCCTGGTAGATGTTCACATATTTAAGAATAAGTAAATGAATAAATGATCTCATTCTCATAATATCTCTTAAAAAAGAAGATAATAAGCTAACATAGCACTACTAGATGTCAAGTTATGTTGAAAGAAAGAAGGATAGAAGGATTGAAAGAAGGCTGGATGGAAAGTAAGAAAGATTTGGAAAATAATTTTAAATTTCTCGAAATATAGGGCAATCCTATAAATGTATGAATAGCAGTACTACTTTATATAAGTAACTATTTTAATATTTTTCCATGGAGCCCACGAAAATTAGTTACTACCATCAGTAGGAAACAGATTTGATCATCTAGCTGCAGTGTATACCAGGAGATAAAGTTTTGCTCTCGATTAAGAACTGTGGACAAGTATTTCATATATCACTGAATCATTGTGTAATTTAAGATTATAATACGTCTTGGTTTTCCAGGAAGAATCTTGGTTTAACTGTTTTGTTAGTGATTAATGGGGTAGGTTTTTAGTTCTCTCAGTCTCAAGGTCTGAATGATAAGTTATAAGGGTACCCTCTAATTAAAGTGCTTGCTTCTGGCTAGTGATTGTAGCAGAAACTGAAATTCATGCATCCTAAGAAATTGTGACTTCCCAAACCCCTATTCTCATGACTCGCTACTTTGAGAGACCACCTTCCAGGCTTGCACTAGTAAAACCTTGATTATCTGGCACATAACTGGAAGCCTTAAGAAAATGGTGATTGTTTTCTGTGCCAGTATAAGTACATGTAGAAAATATATGTATATTATATTATGCCATATAGATATATATAAATAATTCTACAACTTAATGTTTTGTGTTATAGATGTACTTCATTTTTTCAACTTAATTTCTGTGTTTTGTCAGTTTTCAAAAAATCATATAAAAAATGTATCGGAAACTTGCCTGCATGAAACCATAAGCAAAAAGAATGCTTTCAATATCTTAATCACAACTAAAGAGCATAAGATACATGGCTTACTATTTATGGTATAGAAATCCTTACGTTGGATTTCCACATTAGCAAAAAAAGTTAATAAATAACTCAGGCCAACTTGCCAAATCTAGCCTTAAGGGAATTTTTGAGGCGAACTCATCACCATAAACACATGTACTGTATGCAGAAATTCTCTTAAGAAAGAGTATAAGGACATGCAAAGAAGCAAAAAGAAAAATTCTTCATAGTAAAGTCACTCAAAGTTAATCATTGGTAACAGTGCATTTCATATTTCTCTGTTTTTTGGTTTGCTTATTTTTATATGGTCTTAATTCTGTATATGTAAATGTGCATCCTGTATTTCCCCCTCCGATTAATATTAATACTTAATACTTAATATATTTTAGTATTAAAATAGTATTTTAACTCTTTTTCTGTGTGTTTTAGAATAGGTTTTCAGAAGAGGACTTACTAGATCAAAAGTAATACTATTTAAAAACTTTTTTGATATATATTGCCACACTGCTTTTCCTGAATATTTTGCCAATTAATACTTTAACCAATCATGTCTGATGTTGCTTATTTCATCACACCTGCACTTGGGTTGGTTTTGATTTTTTAAAATATTTGTGATTGCAAAAACAAGTAAAAGGTTCCCCACTTTTAGTTTGCATTTCTTACATTTTTGTGATCTTGTACCTTTTTCTGTAAATGTGTTACTGATTGTATCCTATTGTATATTAAAATATAATTTTGTAGCTTAAGAGGGCTCCATGTGGGGGAAAACATTCCCTTTTGAATAATGTGGTTTCTTTACGATAAAGATAATTATTAGTTTTTAATTAAGAATTATCTAGGTTACCATATTGAAATTAACCTCAACAGCTGCAAAATCCTTTCCAAAATGCTTCATTAGTAGAAAACAATTTCCACAGTGGGGAAATGTGGCTTCCTGTTAAGACATATTTATCTGGACTATATTTAACAGTGTATATATATATATGTATTTGGTTTCGTTCATTTCTTTGAGTACTGATCAACAGCAGACTAATCATTGAAATTTTCTATTTCTATCAGGAACAGTTAACATTTACTAAAATAATATCTTAAATATTTTCTTCTTTTCAAGGTATCATAGACGTCGTAGGAAACTGGATCCTCCAAAAGACAGATGATATTGAGGTTTTCAGAAATCAAAGAGATGTTATCTTGTGTCTTATTTGCCATTTGAGAAAATGCAATTGAGTATATTCACTGTTATATAGCAAAACAATAATAAAATGTCTTTTTATATATTAGAATGACTGTTTCTTTATGTATCTAAGTAATTGTGGATTTGACATTCTTATATACAGAAACTTACTTGGTCTATCTTGCCTTTGAGATAGTAAGGTCTGCCATTTATTTTTATGTATCTAGTTGTGATTAAGCATTTTTGCTTTATCAGCCAAATATTGTTAGTAGTATAAATATGATTAATAAAAATGTGCATGGTTCTCCTTCACAAGGAGATTTTTTAATTGTCTTTGAAAAGAAACTCATAAGGTCCACCCAGAAAATAAATGTTAAAATGTTTTCTTTCTTGTGGCTTTTAGGAAATAATTAAATTGGAGTTGACCATTGAACCACACAAGTTTGAACCAGTCTACTTATACACAGAATTCTTTTTGGATAAATACAGTACAGTACTGTAAATATATTTTCTCTTCAGGTTTTTTTAGTAACATTTTCTTTTCCCTAGCTTTATTGTAACAAAATAATATAAAATACATATAACATGCAGAATACATGTTAATCAATTATGTTTATCAGTGAGGCCACCAGTCAACATAGGCTATTAGTAATTAAGTTTTTGGGGAGTCAAAAGTTATATGTGGGTTTTTGACTGCAATGAGGATTGGTACCCCTAACCCCCTTGTTCAGGGGTTAACTGTAGTTACATTTTAATTAGTTTCTACTGCTTTCCAGGTCCTTTCTGTATATATACATCATTATTAAATTCTCACAATAATCCTTTGAAGAAAAATCATCATCCCCACTTTACAGGTAAGGCCAAGTAACTTTGAACCTACCTAGCAAGTGGAGTGGAAGAGCCAGGATCCAAATGGTCTGGTTCCAGAGCCTTTTTACAGTGCATTACAGTGACAAAGGTATATTTTCTTTTACCCAAGAATGTTCTTTCCTAGAAAGGATATTATATAATTTCTTTTAATTTTTTTTTTCTGGCTGTTTTAGAAATTATACTTGCTTTAGAACACATGCAACTCAGTGGTGAAAATGTTAATATCACTAAACTAGTGTGATGAGAATGTTAATTGAATATTTTGCTATTGATTGTCACTGCCGCCTTGTGTGTGATCCTTAATGGCATTGCTGCCCCTGTGATTTCAGCTTAGGACGTGAGGAATCTTTTAAGAAGGTGGAAAGGTGCTTTATTCAAACTTGTAAAATATTTGTGGTATTTTAAAATTTGATGTGGAAAATGATTTCATTGAAGTGAAATTGAAATGAAATTCATTGAATTGAAAACTTCATTTAAAGTCTGATGTTTTGGGATGCCTGGGTGGCTTGGCTGGTTAAGCGTCTGACTACATTTTGGCTCAGGTCATGATTGCATGGTTCATGAGTTTGAGCCCCACATGAGGCTCTGCACTGACGACATGGAGCCTGCTTGGGATTTTCTGTCTCCCTCTCTCTCTGCCCCTCCCCAACATGTGCACTCATGCTCTCTCTCTCTCAAAATAAATAAATAAAAACTAAAAACAATAAAAAGTTTGTTGTTTAATCTAATTCTTTTAATAAAGGAACTCTATCTGAAGTTTCAAGTATTGAGTAAAAATGTAAAGAATAATAAATAGAAAAGAACTAAGGAAATAATAATGGCCACCCTCTGTTACCAAAAGGAAATGTTTTTAAGTGGCTTCCTTTTATCATTAATATATTAATGTGGGGGGAAAGATCAAGGAAAAACAAGTTGATAAAACTTAACTAGTCAGAAATATTTACCAGCCACGTTCAGTAACATATTTTTGAAAAATGGTTAGATTTTTTTCAGGTTGTTTTATATCCAAATTTTTACAAAGATTGAGATATGTCACATTATAAAAGTAGGAAGAATAAAGAATAATTATAATTACATTAATTAAAAACTTTTTTTCTAAGTACAGAGATGTACTAAAGAGATTGTTCAACTGTAGGATGCCCAAACCACACATCCACATGTCAGTGCTTTGGAGAATTAACTTTGATTTTGTTGTACTGGAACTATAGGTTAATACTGTAGATGCTAGAATTTGGCTTTCATGCATTGCTGTTATTTAGTTTTGCTATGTAAGTACATGTTCCATCACCACCATCCCCTCCTCTCTGCTCCTTCCGTTCTCTACCCCAGGATTAGTAACTTATCCACCATCATGAACATTTTAGCAAAGGTCCACTTATTTGTCTCCTTTTTTCTAGAAACTTAAAAACTACATAAGGTGGGATGGTCATTTAAAGGGAATTCATTTGGCTTCATGAAAAATTTCCAATTCCCATGTTTCCATTGGGGAGATGGATTAACACACCTCAAGTTGATATAATAGCGTTGTCAGTGAAACCACCAGAGGGCAGTCTCAGAGTTCAGTTCAAATATTGCTCACCCAAAGGTAGTAACTTAATGTGCTTAATTACCAGAGACTATTTGGATGTTCTTCAGGTAAGAATGTCTAGTAGAATAAATGGCAGTAGTGAAATTATGTGTTGAAATATTCTGAGGCCATTATTCATTCTGTTGACCTAGTCGTCAAGCATTTACCAAACAACTAATACATTTGAAGAGGCATTACGCTTTTTGCTAGGCCTACAGCAAAAAATGGTGGGACGCTTAACTGACTGAGCCACCCAGGTGCCCATAATTGCCCCTTGTAAAGATAATACTAAAATCTTTGCTTCCCTTCTTCCCTCTTATTTCACTGCATATTTCAAAAAATAAAAACAGTATTATGTATGCTATTTTATAACTTGCTTTTTTCATTTAATATAACTGAATTTTTTGCCATATCATTAAATACTCTCATTTAATGAATGCATATTCAAAAATCTGGATTGACATAATTAACTTCCTCGCTGCTTTTAGACATAATCATTGTTTCTGTTCCCTATTATAAATAATGCTGTTGGAGTCCCTGGTTGACTCAGTCGATTAAGCGTCTGACTTTGGCTCAAATTATGATCTCACTGTTTGTGAGTTTGAGCCCCATGTTGGGCTCTGTGCTGACAGCTCGGCCTGGAGCCGCTTCAGATTCTGTTTCTGTCTCTCTGCCCCTTCCCTGCTTGCATTCTCTCCCTCTCTCTCTGAAATATAAGATAAAACATAAAAAAATAATAATAATGCTGTTATTAACATCCTAGTGGATATTTTTCCTTTTTTAAAAAGACTTCCTTTTTTAGAATAGTTTTAGGTTCACAGCAAAATTGAAAGGAAGGTACAGATATTTTCCGTGTCCCCACACGTGCATAGCTTTCCCTGTAATCAACATCACCCACCAGGATGATGCGTTTGTTACAACTGATGTACCAACATTGACATATCATCACCCATGGTTCATAGTTTACATTAGGGTTTATTCTTGGTGTTGTACATTTTGTGTGTTTTGACAAATATAGAATGGCATATTTATACCATTATAGTTTCTTTTTTTTTTTTTTTTTTAATATTTTTATTTATTTCTAGGAGAGAGAGAGACAGCGTGAGCAGGGGAGGGTCAGAGAGAGAGGGAGTCACAGACTGAAACAGGCTCCAGGCTCTGAGCTGGCAGTCAGCACAGAGCCCGACGCAGGGCTCGAACCCACGAACCGCGAGACCATGACCCAAGCGAAAGTCGGACGCTTAACCGACTAAGCCACCCAGGCGCCCCTATACCATTATAGTTTCTACAGCATAGTTTCATTGCCCTAAAATTAGTGTCTGCCTATTTATTCTCTTTTCCTTCCCAACCCCTGGTAATCACTGATCTTTCTTGTCTCCATAGTTTTGCATTTTCCATAATGTTATATGTTAGAATCGTACAGAATGTCGCATTTTCAGATTGGCTTCTTTCATTTAGTAGTATGTCTTTTTATAGCTTGGTAGTTGATTTTCTTTTAGCTCTGAAAAATAGTCCATTGTCTGGACATACCACACTTTCTCCATTCACCTACTGAACGGCATGTTGGTCACTTCCACATTTGGGAATTATAAATAAAGCTGCTGTAAACATCTATGCACAAGTGTGGACATAAATTTTCATCTCTTTTCAGTAAATACCAAGGAGCATGATTACTGGATTGTAAGCTAAGAGTATGTTTAGTTTTGTAAGAAACTGGCAAACTTGTTTCTAAAGTGGCTGGACCATTCTGCATTCTGACCAATAAGAGTTTCCATTGCTGCACATCCTCACCAGCAATTGGTGATGTGTTTTTGGATTTGGCCATTCTAATAGGTGTGTAGTATCTGATTGTTTTAATTTGCATTTCTTTGATACATGACTGTGGAGCACCTTTTTATATACTTATTTGCCATCTGTATATCTTCTTTGTTGAACTGTGTTAAAGTCTTTGGCCCATTTTTTAATTGGGTTATTTGTTTTCTTATTGTTGAGTTTTAAGACTTCTTCTTATATTTTGTGTATCAATCTATTATTAGGTAGGCCTCTTACATATGTTTTCTCCCAATCTGTGGCTTGCCTTTTCATTCTCTTCACACTGTTGTTTCACAGAGCAGAAATTTTTAATTTTTATGAAGTCTAGCGTATTAATTTTTTCTTTCATGGATCATGCCTTTGATGTTGTATCTAAAAAGTTATCATCTTGGGGCGCCTGGGTGGCTTAGTCGGTTAAGCGTCCGACTTTCGCTTGGGTCATGATCTCGCGGTTCGTGGGTTCGAGCCCCGCGTCGGGCTCTGTGCTGACTGCCAGCTCAGAGCCTGGAGCCTGTTTCAGTCTGTGACTCCCTCTCTCTCTGACCCTCCCCTGCTCACGCTGTCTCTCTCTCTGTCTCCTAGAAATAAATAAACATTTAAAAAAAAAAAAAAGTTATCATCAAACCCAAGATCATCTAAATTTTCTCCTATATTATTTTCTAAGCATTTTATAATTTTGCATTTTACTTGTAAGTAGTCTGTGACCCGTGTGTGTGTGTGTGTGTGTGTGTGTGTGTGTGTGTGAGATCCATTTTAAGTAAACTTTTATGAAGGATGTAAAGTTATTGTTTTGTAATATTTTGCTTCATTGTATTGCATTTACTCCTTTGTCAACAATCAGTTGACTATATTTATCTGTTTTTTTTTTAGGCTCTCCCATTCTGTTCTGTTGAAATATTTTGTCTGTTCGCTAGTACCACACATCCTTGACTGTAGCTTTGTAGTCAGTCTTGAAGTCAGACAGTGTCAGTCCTCTACCTTTGTTCTTCTTCAGCACTAGTGGATTGCATTAATTTATTTTTTGAAGTTGAACTAGCCTTATACACCTGGCATAAATTCCATTTGATCATGGTGCATAATTATTTTACACTTTTGGGGGGGGGTTGATTTACTAGTATTTTGTTGAGGATTTTCGCATCTATATTCATTTTAGATATTAGCTTGTGGTTTTTGAGTAATGCCTTTGTCTGGTTTTGGTCTCGGTAATGTTGCCCTCAGAGAATGAATTAGGAAGTATTCCCTCTGCTCTATCCCCTGAAAAAGATTGTAGAGAATAGGTATTATTTTTCTCTTAAATGTTAGGTAGAATTCACAGTGAACCCATCTGGGCCTGATGCTTTATATCTGGAAGGTTATTATTGATACAATTTCTTTAATAGATACAGGCTTATTCAAGTAGTCTATTTCATGTGTGAATTTTGCCAGATTGTCTTTCAAAGAATTGGTTCACTTTATCTTAGTTATCTGAGGGTATAGAGTTAGTTGTCCCTGGGAATTGTAATAATGTCCCTTGTTTCATTTCTGATATCAGCAATTTGTGTCTTCTTTTTTTTTTTTCTTAGCCTGGTTAGTGGCTTATTAATTTTTTCGATCTTTACAAAGAACCAGCTTTTGGTTTTATCAGTTTTTTCTATTGATTTCCTGTTTTCAGTGTTATGGATTTCCACTCTAATTCTTATTATTTTTTTTCTTCTGCATACTTTGGATTTAATTTGCTCTTTTCTTTCTAGTTTCCTAAGGTGGAAGCTTAGATGGTTGATTTTAGATATTTCTTTTTTTTTCTAACATGCGCATTCAATGCTAAAATTTCCCTTTAAGCATTTGTGGCTTATACTACATCCCACAAATTTTGATAAGTTGTGTTTCAT